TGAAAAAAAAAAACAAGATATCCGATATTTTGGTATTATAAAGCTATTTAAAGAGAATATCGTACATATCTTCTAGCTATTTGCGCTGAGGTATTCAACATCGATTGAAAGTATAGCTCAGCATGCAACACGTGTCTTTTTTTAACAGTATAAGTGACAGTTCGATACTATCTGCAAACACGAGCGTAAACTTTAGCTATAATTTTCCAGCATGGAGCAAGATGATTAATAACACTTTTTTCGGTATTTTTACATCACAGGTATTTTTTTTTTTTAATTTAACCTTAGACTATGTAAATAGGGCTTTTTCCTGGGTATATGGGAAGCTTATATTTTTATCAGTGCATTAGAGCGCAATTTGCTTCTCTCAGGGACTATAGTGTCCGAGATTAGTGATCATCGAAGCTTTCACGTAGAAATTGTTGTCCAACGCTTACACGAGACTCTCGTGGGATCCATGATGGCGTAGAAAAGCACTCACGTGGACACCATTATGATGGTGGTTATAAAATAGGATGAACGAGTATTTTTTCATCTCTAAACGTAACGTTGTCGATTAACTTTGTGGATATCGTTAATATTCGTTGTTTCAGTATATTTTTCAATCATCCAACTTATTTTACTACACAATCAACAGACATTAATGCTACCCACGAGTACAGTATATATGAGACGAGATGGCGGTCAGCCAGCGTTAAAACGATAAAAAATAAAATAAATGTGAGGAATGGATAAATGGAAAAAATGAGAAAAATAGAGATATATTGCTAAATCGATTTCATCTCGCTTTTTCTTCTTCTCTTTACTACTCATGTTCACCACTAGTTATAAAATATAATGCTATAATTTTTGACTTGCAGCTGCACACTGACAAACCCCATTTCATTCTGATACACAATTATCTATTGCATTTTCGGTGAATATCGTTGCCTACTAGTGTCAATATTGTTGATGTTTTATTCAGAAGGAAATATTCATTTTTTGTTCAAATATATTTTTATAGTTAACTTAAATATTATTTAAGTTAATTCTTTCCAAACTAAACTTGTTAGTTTTAATAGATTGATAAAATTATTGAATAAAAATAGGTCTGGGCTTAATTTGTGCTCTGATGACGAACTTCCCATTAATTGAAATCCATTATTTTGTCATCTTTTGGTTTATAAAAAATTACTCTTGTTATAAACAATATACAATTATTTAATCACATAAAGTTATTTATAACAATATTTTATTGATATTTGTTGAATATAATATAATCATTGTAATGATCATTCAATAAATTAAAACCATTTGTAATTGTTTATAACAAATTAAATTTGTTATAAACAATACATAATTGTCTAGAGTCATATGAAGTTATTAACAATCATATTATATTGACCTCAGTTGTCATTAATGTTAATCATCTAATAAGCAGAATCTACTTCAAATCACTGCAAATCGTAGTGTTTTAATTTAAAACACTTAAAGTGTTTTTAAATGACGTTATCCATTTGATTAACATTGTAGTCACTTTTTAGACACTTCCAAGCATCTAAAAAGTGACTACAATATTAATCAAATGGGTGACGTCATTTTAAAACACTTCCAAAATTTTAGATTTGCAGTAATGTCTTCTTTTTGTTATGAAAAAAATGGCCGGACTAAATTTGTTTAGACTTCTTTCAGATCTTTTTCATTGTATTATCTTTAAAATGAAATTTGTCCGAAGTCGATATCTTCAGTGGTACTGAATAAATATTTAATATGAATAAATAAATACTGAATAAAAATTTAATAATAATTAAATTAAATTAAATAAATATCAATAAGCCCAAACAAAAACAATAATAATAATTTATAAAAATCTACGCAAATTGTGCTTGTAATCACTACACAGTAAACACTAGTTACTGTTTATTACGAGTTCTTATTTATTATCACCGAATATTATACACAATAATAATATAGTTAATAAATGATACAGCAGTTAAAAATAGCTTGACCAAAAAGTAAAAAAAAATTAAACTTTTTATAACGATTTGGTATCAAGTTCGTAAAAAACTGTCAATAATTTTGTTGACTACCAATCATTCTTATGATAATAGTATTAGCTTCCATGTTATTGCATTTTATGCAATGATACAAACTACATGTCCATGTTTTTCATGAGAATATTAATATCTTCATGTCTGTCTAGTTCGCAATTGAAGTTGAATATATTATACGAGTTTCATTTTATTTGATATTTTTTTTGAAGTATTTTGTTATTTTTCTCAATGTTTTTTATTCATTACATTATACTATTGAATATAGTAAACATTAAGTTCTTATTTATTATTTGAAATAAATTAAAGAAGCATTTTTTTATATTTAACCAAGTTATTTCAAAGTTGCTCATTATTTCAGTAAAATCAATTATCAATAAATATTCGTGCTCCAAATTCTCAACATGCCATACTCAATTCTCCTGTACAATGGCAAATATTAATTTAGGTATAGACCATTGTCATTTCTTGAAGAGTATAAATAATCAATAAAAAACATCATATTTCTATTGTTTGTTTTAATGAAGAGAAATTACTTAAATTTATTTGTACACTTAATTATTTTTTATTTACTATTTAGAAGTTTTTAATAAACTTTCAATATCTTAATTACTCTGTTTATTAAATTTTTCCAATATTAAAATCTGAATAGTTTGCCTAGAAAGTGCATCTGCAAATAAAGAATTTCAACAGTTAACTCTGACTACTCGTAACTTTGAAACAGTTGAATTATTGATCCTGTTCACAAGATGTTTTTTGTCGGAAATTAAATTCTGTAAAAAATTATAGTTCTTTAACTTATATAATAACTTCTCTAGTAGAGAAATATGCCGGAAAACATCTCGAGGAATTCGTTTCATGTTAATTTTATCATTCCGTAAGACACTATTAAATACTCCACTACAGTCCTTTTTTTTATGAAGAATAACTCTTCTTTATTATATTTTACTAGTAGTCTAAATTAAAACATAAATTATTTTTTCATTACAATTTTTTTTATTAATATTAAAAAAAAAAACTAATTAAAAATTAAAACTTTAATTTTTCTTCATTTTAAACCACACTATAGTTTATATACTAAAGTTCAAAAGTTCAATGAGCACATATCTTTAAATCAAATAAAAACGAAACAAAAATTATCAATAGAGAAAATTTAAAGTTTATCGAATAAAATTGAATTTTTATCAATAAACAAAAATTTTTAAATCATTTACAAACAATCCCATCCAACTCAAGTGTTATTTTGATATTTAAAATTGTTTTGTTTATTTCTTTACAGTTATTATTATTATTTATTGATTCGTTGGTTCCATCAGCAAATAAATTTTTTAAAATGAAAAAAAAAAGCAACAAATTCCTGAACATGATGTGTAAACATTCCATTCTTGTTATCATTTCAATTCTATAAAAATTCATAAGATCTATGAAATACTCATCCTATAACAGTTTTCAACTTCGTCTCATTAATCCATATATTATTAAGACTTCAATAATTAATAATCACAATATAAATTTAAAATAACAGTCACTTTAATCATCAATGTCTATGAGTACACACACATACATTTACCGAAGAGTTATTGGAATAATATTTACTTGACTCTGAAAATGTAAAGAGAATCCATTACTAGAAATGAGAAAAATGTCTGATCCAGAGTTATTTGATGATTCTGTTGCTTTATGTACGTAAAAAAAAACTGATAGGGGAGTCAGATGTAACGTGTTCGGTCGTATTAGATGGATTCGAAGCTTTACCATCCCTCTACTACAGATAAAATTGTTTCACGCTCGAGCTGTGAAAGAAAAAGATTTCGAAGCCTGAAAATTTCATCTTGGAATCGAATCGATACCAGATGCATAGTTACCAGCACCTCAATTTCGATCTCTATTGATGTAAAAATTCATTCTTTTTTTCACTAAATAAAAAATACCAAATGTGTGCTGATAACCATAAAAAATGTTAAAGTGTAACTATAGGATTATATGATTATCGAATCAGAGAATTTTTAGTTTTATAGTTGAGAGTAAACATTTTTTACGGGTCTTCGATGTTGAGCAAACATCCCATTTGGAATTTCAAATAGCCAACAGTCTTGAGATGGAGGTATATATTGATATTTACTGGAGGGCAACCATCAAACGGAGTAAAAGTTGGAGTTTGTCGTGCATGAAAAACTCAGAAGTCACATAGTTGCCTGCTCTTCTTCATTCCCTTATTTCAATTTTATTCTTTATTTTTACAACGTTCAGTAAGCTTATTCTTCCTTAAGAGCAGCTTTTTCTGATAAAACTTCTCGAATTGAACTTTATCTCCAATAATCTAGTCTGTATGTTGACAAGAATAAAAGAACCAGATAACTGGCAATATTCTAAATAATCCACATCAGTTCATAGAACTTTTGACTCTCTGCCTACCACCACCACCACCATTTTGGAAAGCAATAGAATACGTTTGGATACAAAAAAAAAGTCCTGAGATAATAGAAGAGCCAGAATAAATTTAGAAACAAATAACATTGAATTGACTTTTAAATTACTGTATTAATAAAATTTTATTTACTTTACGGACATTATTAGTCGGTTTTTCTTCTTCTTCTACTTCTTCTTAGTCGAATGTTCTGGCATACAAGCATGAAGGTACGTGTTCAGAGTTTACCTGACATCTGTTAGTAATTTCTCATTCTAGAACAAAATACACCAAGAGCTTTTCAGTCAGTTTGGCTCCTATCCAAGCCACTGACTATCTCGATCTTCAGAGTCATGATACTTACTCTCCTCACCTTCAGCTCCTCCCCCTCATCCAGAATATCCACCTAAGCTTGTTATAAATTTACACAGTAATTTACGAAAACGAATGGTTTACTTATCGAGTTAGAAGTCATGTTCGCAATCATCACACTCATTTTCACTAATAATTATTCTATATTTTCTTAAAAATATTCAACTATTAATATACAATGAACTCACATGGTTAACTTAACATCAGTGTATAATATTTTTTAGCACTAGATTGAATAAAGTGACTTAATTGATGGTAACTTCTGTTGGATCAATAGCAAATTTTTGTTGGATATCAGCCAAACTCATGTGTTTGGTATCACGTACAAAGATACCACAAAATATCCCACCAAGGCAACAAGACCCACCAAAAAGCCACATTGTCTTGGAAATTCCAAGTGACTCGGCAAGTTCGCCAAAGGTCATCGTGGCAATAAGGGATATAAGCCAGCTGAGAAAAGCAGCACTGGCAGCGCCTACTGTTTTTATCTCATTCGGAAAAATATCACCCAAGATGGACCAAGATATTGGTCCCAGACCAATATTAAATGCAAAGAAGTAGAGAATCATGCAAGCTGGTGGTATCCAACCAAATGTCTCATCATAATATTGGGGATCGTTGTCTCTTACACTGCTATACCACCCTAAACATTAAAGTTTATTATTATCATTACTGTTACCATGATCATTATTATTATTATTAGTGATTATAATATTAAAAAGATGAAAAAAATTACCAAAAGTCATCATGAAAAGCCCCATAAAAATTCCTGATATTGTTAAGAGGATTCGTCGTCCCAAAAAATCAATAAGTATCATACATAAAGCACTGGATATTATTTGTACTATTCCAACAACAAGAGTTTGTTGACTTCCACTTAGTTCACCAGATCCACTGTTGTTGAATATCACAGTTGCATAAAATATTAAAACATTGACACCACTTAGTTGTTGAGTTATAATGACTCCATAGCATACGATAATGGCGCATTTAACGCGACAGTTCTTTATGATCTTATTCGTACACACCAATTTCAGGATGGAAGGAAGATTTTAGTAGAGGTAGTAAGACCAACCGAGAAGAGAATGAAATTAAGAGCGTTAATGAAAATTTCTCGAATGAAATATTGTGTTCATGAAGGAAGACTTCAGAAGATAATAACATAAGTAGGTAAAAGTAGACTTGATTAAAATGATCATATTAGAAACTCATTAATTTTAATTAGAATCATGATTTTACCTGAAGACTCGAATTTCTAGTTTTAATTATAGTTTGTAAATCTTCTATTTCATCACTAGTGTGTCCTTCACCTCTGTACCACTTTAAGGATTTAAGAGCACCATCATTGTCTTTTTTTGTTAGATAATAAAGTGGACTTTCTGGTAATGTAGCTACTAAAACTATTGGTGCACAGCTGATAGCACAAGTAACACTATATCTCCAAATAGAGTCTTGTTCATTAAGAAGGTAGGTCGTTAGGAAGGCGTAAAAAATTCCACAATTAATTAAAAGCTGAAAGTAAATCAATAAACGAGTGCGACTGTTTTTATCAGCTATTTCGGCAATGAATAGTGGTACTAGAACACATGAACTTCCACCAGCTACTCCACAAAGAAATCTACCAAACATTAGACTCCAGACCTGTAATAAACATTTAATCATTTTTATCTTTGATGATGTGCAATAATATTTGATACCTCTCAAGTGTACAAGTAAATCTTAGAAACTCTAACATTTTTATTGTTACTTTGTTTAATAATTTTTTTAAAAAAACAGTATATTTATCATCGTTGGACTTTTTTATAACATTGTTTACGCAATAAATATATTTTAATGATTATTTTTCTGCATAAATTATTAATTAGTTCCTTAAGATTACTTTAAATCTAAAAAATATGCACTAATCTTGTATTATTTTTAATAAAATTGAAAAATGGTGTGGAATATTTATAAATATGGTCTCATAAATTGGAACTGAAGAATAAATAAAAATTATTTTATAAATAATTTCGATTCACTTTAATCATATTTATAAAACAATTTTTAAATCTTCAACAAAATTTCATCAATGTGATTTTTATTTGTTTTCCCATCAATTTAAATAACACTGACATCTCCAATGCTATTAACTCACTATTTTTTAGCTTGGTAATAACTCCCTAAATAATGCTAATATTTTTTTTAACTATTCAACTCAATTCCAATTCATAAAAATTAATGACTTGATACCATTTAATTTTATTCTCTTTATTACACCACCATAGACCAATTAAATACCAATTAAAATAATTGTAAACATTTGAAAATAGCCTTGAGCAATGCCATTTATGATGTATTATCAATTCCAACATTTAAATTTACTTCAATAAAAAATTAAATGAACAAACATGATCCATTTGTACATGTTGAAATATAAAAATCAAGATACAGTGAATAAATGTAATAACAGTTGGAAAAAACTAACCTTTTGATCTGCTAAGCAGATGAGGAGCCATCCAGTTACATAAATGGGAATCGTAAGGAGAATACTAGTAATTCGGCTGACAAATTTAAGAATATACGGTAGCATTACAATTCCGCCACAGGCTCCAGCATTTAAGATGCCACCCACAAGCCCTATCTCAGTGCCTGTGGCGTTCAAAACATTTCTAAATGTGTCACCAGCACTAGAATTCCAACCTAAACTCACTCCAAGTGCAAAACCACTCAGAGATGCTACAAATTTAAAAATAAAATCATATAATTCTATGAATTACAGTATCAATTTTCAACATCTTGGTTGATTTACATCATTTTTTACGATATTCAATATTAAAATATTATTCTATTTATAAAAGAAATATTGGGAAAATGATTTTACATACCAAAGATAGCTCCTAGATGTTGATTCAACCTCTTTGGACGATAATTGTCTAAAGTTGTAGTATCTATTTCAGATGGTGAGGCCATTGTTTCAATTTATTTAATTACAAACTATGAAACAAGTGAAATTGAAGAAAAAAAATGATCAACAGAGTTATTTTTTACGTATTGGAGTAGAGAATTTGCTTGCATGACTAATACAAACGACGTCAAGGCTCAAGTTGTTGGTATCGATATCAATGTTCACTATGATTTGATTGAGAATGTGAGTACTGTTTTGTCAAACAAAATAGCCTCTAAATAGTGTAATATAATGTCACTATTTCTCTCTCTTCCATTTTCTTTCCTCCTTTTTTTCTTTTTTAGTTATTTTTATTGACGTAAACTTCATGCATGTTAAAAATAACATTATTTTATATTTTTAGCTTTTATCATTAAATATCATTAAGAAGGAGAAGAAAACGTTGAAATAAAAATCATTTTTAAGATAAACAGAAAGTAGAGAAAAGAATTTTCTTGAGAGAACAATGCCATATAACAAAATATGAGTGATATATTCAAGCGTTTTAAATGTATACATGTAATGTCATGCATGTTTGATAAAATTACGATATGCTTCGGTGATTACGTCCTAGAAATGTTGGAATGTTAAAAATATTTATGATTCGAGAAGACATTACAATGCATTCAAATGTTTATGCAAAGTAACTTATGTGTCTTGTCTGTATCATCACAGCTAATTCACATATTGTTGATCTCATTTAAGCTCCAGGAAGCTAGGATCTTATATATGTAGACAAGGTCAAAGCTTTGTCCTTGCAAAATGCTTTTTTTGTTTTGTCAGAAACGTTTCTCAGGTCAAATGAGTAAATTTATGATCTCCAATGCCCTTTAAGTTGGCGTAGTTCATCTCATTCACGAAGTAGGGATAAGGTTAAATTTATAGGACTGTTATCATCAACCGCTTGGACATAATGTGCATTATCGTCGCAGTTTCCTTTCAATATTTTCTCACTATTATGTATATTAAACCAACGTCATCGTTTTATTCGGGAATAAATGCAACGCTAAGATATTTTGAGGTTTTATTGGTATCTGTAAAAACTTCCCTTCGTTATCACTTTCCACTGTTTTTTTGATAGAAGAATGGAAAATTTCAACTATTTTGAACTCGCAAAAATTTCAAGTTTCTATAGAAGCATCTTAATTTTGTATGACCAGTTAGCATTTTTATTTAAAAAAAAAATTTTTAATCAAACTGTTGATGAATTTTAATTTATTCATTTATCAAATATCTGGGTACAAGATTGTGAAACAAAGGGATGAATTTTTTTCAATGTATTTAAACATTTATTTTTGTAATTTTATATAATGATGATCATCAAGGATTTATTTATTTACTATTATATTCCATCTCATTGAGTTTATGCTAATCGTTACAATTGTTGAGTTTATTTTTCATAAATAAATAAATAAATAAAATCAATAATATTTAATGTTTAGCTATATTTCATAATAATTTAATTATATTTGCAATAATACTTCCTAGACTTCACTTCACCAAGTTGACAATGAATTTTCACTCAAAAAAATCTCAAACCTCTGCGAATATTTATCAATAAATGAATACACTTATTTCTTTGTTAATTTGTACACTGCAAATCTGGAAACATTTAAGAGTTTAATACTAAAACCCTTAACGTGTTTCATAATAAAACACCCAAGTGTTTGCAATGATGAACACCATAAACAAACTATAGTATTTTGATAAGCACGAAGAAAAAATTAAAATTTGTTCACAAAATCACTATGGTTTGTTCATGGCATTTAAGATTGTAAACACTTTAAGTGTTTAGTTTTAAAATACTCCGATTTGCAATGTAGTGATAAATTATTTTTCAAGATCTTTTGAACTTTCTCATATATTATTTTATAATACAATTCAAACTTTGAATAATTCATGAATAACTAATCACAGTTGGTTATGTTGACATACAAATAAAATACATCTGATTAGTTAGCTTTCTTAGCTGCTACCTAACCTGGACCCAACACTGTAGACATTTTAAATCAGCTCAGCAATAAAGTTTAATGATAAAATGAAAGGTGATGTCGAGTGTCACATTTGTAATGTAATATTTTCATAATCAAATAGACATTGCTAACTTTTCATCTATTGTTTATCTGAAGACTTCAGTATGTTGTTTTATTTATTCCAAGAGCCATTTGTATTCAAGTCAAAATACTTCTTGACTATTTAAATTAGAAAAATGTTAGATATTTTGAATAACTGTGATTTTTTTTTCCAATAAAAATCATTGTTGGATTATTTTCCATCAAATTCAACGATGAGAGTCACAATCAGGGATTTTATTCAACTTTTGATCTACTTTGGATATTAACTAGTAATTTAGAAAGTTTCCTAAGCTTGTATTATAACTTGATAAAGTTTGAAAAATATAAAGGTGTATTTTTCACTTATAATTTAAAGTATGATTGAATGATTGAGTTCACATTGGAAATAAATTTCAAGAAGACATCAATGGATTTATTAATCTTCTATTAAATTCTCTAATCTTATAATCCTTTAGTCAATAATTACTATGGAATTGCTTATGTGGACATTTTGATTTATTTTTAATAACTGTGAATAAGAACAATCCTACTAATTGGTATCATTATTTTATTGAATTTTACTGAATTAATCTAATATAATTATTTTTGTTTTTTTAAATTAAATAAAAACTTGATTTATACAAATTTCAATGATTATTCCTTAAAAAAATATTATCAAGTGTATATTTTATGTAAAAAAAAACATTTAGAGGCAAAAAAGAGTAATTGAGATTAAAAATAGAATAAATTTGTATATTATTTTATTAATAATTTTTTTTATAAATATTATCATGACGAATTATGTGTTTCGATACATTTAAATGCACTTCTCACACTGAATTCATTATCTATTATTTATAATATATTCAAATTAAAAACCAGATCTACTATTTTTTGCTCACTAATTCTTTGTTTTTTTTTTAAACAAACTGCACTTGGAATTATACTCAAAAGACGTCACATCTAAATATTTTAAATAACTTTATAATTAGTCGAATAATTTTTTAAAATAATCTACAATTTTTTTTACTCAACTTCAAAATCTTTAACAATCTTTTTAGTTCCTTAACGATTTATTAATAATACCAGTTGTTGAAAAAAGTATTTCTATTATTTTTTACAGCATCAAAAAATTTGCAAGTAATGTGTAGAAAGAAGTCACAAGATATACTTATAAAAATTTGATAGAATTTTTTACTTTTATTTCAGCAGAAAGCATGTCGTCGAAAAATTCTCAACTAAGTCCTCTAGGATCTAACAAGTCACATTGTGTTCATTTTTTTATTTTAAAAAATAATGTTCATAACAGTGCTGACGGAGTCTTGTTATCGCATAAGTGTAGAGAGTCTTCACGTAGTTTAGTCACGGACATGATGCTAGCGTGGATCTTAAAATTGCGTGAGGCATAAGTAGAAAAGTGCAAGAGAGATGAAAAATAAAAGGAATGATGAGCACGTGCATCGTCTGAAGTGATTATATAATTTTATTGTTTTCTTGTGGAGTAGATGATGATAATGCAGAGGAAGTAATTAAGTAATCCTTTATTTATTTTTCTTGCTTTTCATTTCTACTATGATTTGTTAAATTACTGAAAAATTCGTAATCGTTAACTCCACTAGACTTATCCTCTTTTGTACACTATATATCAAATTATTAGATTCTATTCTTCATAATAAAATTATTAATCTACATATATATATATTTTTTAAATATCAAGCTTTTATCGCGACAAAATATCCAGCACCAATCGTCACGTTCACATTAGGAGAAATGACTAAGTATTGTTATTATCATAAAAACAGCTATCAATATGGGTTAATTAACAGTTGATAATAATAGTTGGAGTGTATGATAATTTTTTTTCGTACTAAAATAACTTCCTTTTTGTATCGAGAATCCGCCAACATGATTAAATGTTTTTTTTTAGAATTAGTATATAGTTTAACCTTGGATTATTATAGAAAAAATTATGTCGATTATAGCAGTACTATAGAGTCATAAAAAAAATCATACATGTCATTGTGATGCTAAATGTCATAAGACACAACTTTCAGTACTCTTTTGTATTATTATTTTTTTTTTATTAATTAACCACTATTTGAAATAACTGTTGAATAAATGTGTATTATTTCGTAGTTGCTGGATAGTAAACAGTCTATTAAACTGTATTTAATTGTCAATCAAGTGGAGAAATTATCAAGTTAATAATACTCTATGCACTACTGTGATTGACAATTTCATACAATTATCATAATGATCAAGTTATTTGTTATCATTGATTATCAATTATTGAACATTTGTTTGTGAGTTGTTGAGTTTATTTTGCTTCACATTTGCTATTCCCACAGATATTTATAAAACATCGACCAATAAATATATTTATTAATAATAATCCATACAAAAACAAATTCATAAAAGTCGTGCTAATTTGAACCATCAAGTACTAGGTATTTTTTTTTATAATAATAATAATGATAATAATAGTTAAAAAAAATTATTGACCAACATATAGAAGATCAATGAATTCTAATATAAAATGCAATTTAATAGGCCGACCCTGAATGTTGTTTAGCTTTTTTTTTTATTTACAAATAAAGCAGGAATTCTATTTTTATACACATTTTTCTTTGGATTAAATTTAATTTTTTAATTATTACATCAATTTTCAATAATTGTTATTATGAATTGTTTCGAGAAGTTCCTCAAGATAGATAATTAACTAAAAAAAAATTGATTAAAGTGTTTATTGATTGAAATTTTAATTAAAATAATTTCAATTGTTTGAATAAAGATGAAACAGCTCATTAATATTTATCCAAATCTATCATTATCAAATCAACTATTTAATCAACTCTAAAATTTGATTCTCCAAGTAAATGATTTATTGTATAAAATAGTTTACTCACAAATTCACAGCAATGACCAATAAAAATAGCTTTTCGAAGGTAATGTAGACTCTCAATCGAGAGCTATAAAAATTCATGAACGTTTAGCCAATATTATCGATATATCAGCATGCTTTCAAAACTCCTTTTTCTTTTTTATTCATTTTTCATCGAATATTGTAAGCAGTTACTCGACAATATTCTAGCTTGTCATGTGTACTAATATCATTAAAACAACAC